TGTGTTTCTAATGAAGTGCCTCGCTTTGATTCCTCAATGGCGAAGCCGGCGCTGTTCCTATAAAGTGCACAGGTAAAGGACACCCGAACCATTGAAAGCCACAACAAAAGTTATGGTGGGTCAAAGAGATGAGATTATCTGCCTCCCTACGCCCAGCGACGGATTACACTGAGTTCCATAATGACCGCTTCTCTGGAAATGAGGGAGCCCCTTTCGGAGCAAAACAACAGCTTCATTCAAGCCAGAGCTCGCTCTCTCCCTTTTGCAAAACTTCTCATACCCTGGCTCAGATCTTTCTTTACACATTCTAGCGCCGTCCAGTACGAAACAGAATTGAGAAAGTTGCTTGAAACGGAGCTTGTGACCTTCAGCACTCCTTGTGCAAATTTGAGGCTACCGTTGTCTTCACGTGCTATTGCACCAAAATACACCACCTAACTGGAACGTCGCCGTGAAACCTTGGTAATGGTCAGATCGAATACTTTGTGCTCTTTCGATGGCGAGTACTTCTCCCACTATTATTAAAAGTTCGTGCTGATCTGCAAATGAGAACGAGTTTTTCTTGTACACACATTGTAGAGAGCCTACTGAAGTTCTCGAGTTCTCAGCGGGCCGAGGCATACAATCAGTAAGCAATTTCTGTTGGTGTTTCACCCATCTGCGCGCCTTCGGCTGAAGTCCTTCGGCTCGGAATTTCGTGTGGCAGAATATCATAGGCAGTGAGCACGACGGCTGGGAGCGGGTGGTTGTTGCCAGCGTTATTGGTGGAAGGACTGCAAGCAGGGCACGCCATCGCGTTGTGATCATTTTCTGAAAATTACGACCCCCCTAATTCCATACTAAAATACGACCCCCTTTTTGGGAGTTGGTACGACCCCCCCCCCCTCCCAGCCCTCTGTCCTTCATCGAACCGAGCCGTCGAGCGGGGGGGGGGGAGGTCGTCAGAATTAAACTATCATTTTCAAGTGTCGGAAATAGTAGTGCGTCCGTGAACTGACCAAATACGACCCCCCCCCCTTTACAGCGTCCGTGAAACAAGAGAAATCAACTATCAAAAAAATTTTTCTCTGACCAAATACGACCCCCCTCCCTCGCGGTCAAATACGACCCCCCCCCCTTGTGATGATCACAACGATGGCGTACCCTGACTGCAAGAGGGCGTTTGGCCACACTTCACCAACCCTTCCACAGGTCATGCTGGTAACAACCACACGCCCCCAGCCGCCATTTCCACTGCCTTTGAACATCCCTTATTTTAGCCCCCCACTGCATAGGAAAGGCGAAAGAAAGTGAATAAGCTTGCGATACATTCCCCCAAACTTACCTGGTCCCTCCCTTCAGATATTTGGTTTCATAGTATGCTTCTGCTAAAAATGAGTTCACCCCATATTAAGAAAGGGCTAAGCATTACTTCATTGCCATTTGTGAAGAAAAATACCTTAACCTTGTCGCATTCGCCACTGACTGAGACCCGTGAACCAGTGGCGTTCTTCATCCTAATGATAAATGCATTTAAATGCTGCACTTCGCTACAAGCGTGTGAGAAAGTTTCAATCTATCAGTTTTTTTTTGCAAATTGAATGCGTGCTGTATTCCATAGCTGACCGATGTGGAGAAAGTCCTTTTCTTGCCCAAGTGGAAAAATGTCAGTGATCTAAAGAAAATACAAACCGGATATAAGGCAGTAGTGACGAAAGTAGCGGGCTGGCAGTGGTTCCTCTTCGTTCCGGATGATTCGGTGCCTGTAACCATCGAATGACAGCTTCCCATAGGCGGTACTCATCTGTAAAAAAGCGTGTTGCAATAGGGTGAGCTTTCTTCTCCGGCGTAGGTCAGCAAATGTAAGCTGTACTGACTCGCGACAACGAGCTGATTGCATTTGAGTATCTCGATCATCTGGTCTCGGTCCAGTGCCAACCAACTCTTCTCCCATTCGTCAGTAATGAGCAATTCAAAATCTCGAGCGATTGCTTGGATGCACGCACGAATCAGCAACTGAAATTAGGAGTTCTATGAAGTCGGTGTTACGAGGAAGCCCATCATATAGACAAATTCTGATAATGCGGTAGGGATATCCAAGGATCATTTATTCCCCTATGCGTGTATATTTGTCAGGAATCTTTTCTGAAGCACATCATTATCGAAGTGCTGCGACAAAACCTTCTCTCCAACCGTTCTCGTAGTTGATCATCTCCACCGGATTAATTAAAATAAGAGAAAATACTTCTGCCTTCCAAGGGAGACACTATAGTCCTAAATTCTCGTACGCGCCTCGAAGCGTAGGCTATAAGGAATCGGCTGCAGGTCCAAAATGGCAGTAGAGGTGCTGAGTGGTGGGAGAAAGACGAAAAACGAAATAATGAGATCGAAAAGTGAGCGAAATGATCCCTGCCTTGTTCGGCGGTTAACGAGCATTCGGTTAAAAGAAGAAAGAAGTCGCCGAAGAACGAAAGTCTCTATAGCTGGCCTTATGCCATCCGACCCTGATAGATACGGCTGCATGTGCTACGGACATACTCTGAGAATCCCTGGGCGCTTGGTATGGCTGCATACGTGAATTGAACGGGGCGGTGGCCAGGTTTTCGCAGAGCATTCGGCACGCTTGTAGTCAAGCCTTTGTACAACACAGAAGAAGTGACAGTTGTCTCAAATCGAAGTATTCCACGAGCAAGCCATTGTGCCATGTTCATATGCACGCTTACTCTATATCAGGGATAGGGAGTACCCGTGCATGTACAGTTGTTATCCCGGAAAACGGTAGTTCGAAAAACGACGGCGTAGCCTGGGGCGCAGCCAGAGCGGATTTCTCACCAACTGTAGCGGACTTAGGATGACATCATTGTTGGAACAAGGCCACCTTGGCTGCGCTCTCACCTGCGAAGCGTCAAAGACCCAATTGGATCATCACTGTATACAGGCACTTAACCTGAGCGCGTCAACCTGAGTGCGCTATATCTAGAGGAAGTTTTGTAACTCCTCCTCCAACACGTTTGCACCCCTTTAGGGCTACGTTCGTACTTCGTAACCCGAGCCATTCATCGAACCCAGAATTCAAGATTCCTCATTAGCGTGACGAGACTGCGGCTAATCGCCTCCACTGTTAATTACAGGACCGCTGCAACCGCTAATCTTATCACAATCAAAAAAAGCTGTTTGGAGCGGCTCCACGATTAGGCGATGCGTTATCAGTAAGAATCCCGCTACTGAACCGATCGAGTCGCGAAGTATGTATAAACGCGCCCGATACGGTTTAAATTTGAGGTGATTTATGCAAAAGACAGTACTAATGGTAAGACCAATAATGGTGTAGGCAGAAAACCCAATTGAAAAGGGCTTGTATTATTTAAGGATTACTTTACTTTTACGGCATCTGTCACCGATAGCAGAGCTCACAGTCCTAAGGGAACAAAGGGCGAGGTGAACTCACTTGGTGATAGGCCTTAGTCGCGTAGGAAAACCATATGCTGAACACATCCTTCAACGTGAGATTTGGAAGGATCTCAGATATGGCAAAATCGATGCAGACCTGAAACACTGACAGAGCATTCTGATAACTTTCCATGGGAGCTAACTGCCACTTTCAGAAGCACCGTGCATCATCAGTTAAAGTGAAAAGGGTTCACTGAGCAGAGGTAACTTGACAGCTGATCCAATCCCGCACTACTTTTTGTGCTCTCGTCTACCCTGCTGTTAAACTTGACATATCTACGTCAGAACGCGATAACAGCTGTTGAAGAAACTCTACCACAAATTATTATCGAAGGTGGCCCTACAAATGTAGGGTTACCCCCCGTCCGAAACTCGAAAAGCTTCAAATGCTTCACTCAAAGGTCCCTTGCTGATCGACAAGATCCGTACAGAACGTCTACTCACATCATATACCTCCTGAGGGGTCATAATTTGAAAATTTCTGAGAAAATTCCAAATGAAAAGGCTAAGAATGCAATACACTCGCGGAAGCCCCAATACACCTTGTCCACTCTGTCCTCTAGCCTGCGTGTCCCAGCTGCCTGCTCACATTACACGCTTGTATGCCCTTTTGCCTCAGAAAAAAGCTTGCGAACGCGCTTAGCAGGGTTCGTTCGTAATTTCATATGTAAGAGAATTATCGTCAGGCATCCAGCAGGCGGAAATCGGGCGGAAACGGCAAAGGCGGTTCACATTAAGCCGTTACGGTTCGAAAAGCAGCTTCTGGGAATAATTCGAGGAATTGTTGGCATGAGTGGTCGTCGATGGGAAGGTCGTCGATAGTGCGACTCGCGATAGTCTCACAAAGCTAATAGTTACACATTTGACTTCAATAGGGTGGATGTAACTGGACAGCATGACGCATTTTAAAGAAGTGGGTCGTGTTCGCATTTTTTCCAAGAAGTTTTTCGCTTGAGTTATGCAGTGAAGGTCTGGTAGAAAGTACCAAACGATATGGACTGAGAGAAATATAGCATACGCCTGGGTAGGCCTCCTTCTCCACCACCAATCACCTTTTTACCTTATGGAACCCTTTGTGAAGTTACCACTTCGAGAAAAAGGCCAAAGCGATTCAACACTAGTCACTGCCTCTTCAGCTTCGCTGCAGCCCCCCCCTCTCCTCGGTGATGGGATATTTATCGGCACGCCCCACTATTAATAACCAACAAAGTTCCTTGCAAGGAAAACTACAGACCACAGTGAACAGCCCTGTACGAGTATCGCATCAGGAAATGGACAGGTGGAGAAGTTAAAGACACATGGTACGCTCAAACATATTGAGGGTGTATGAGACTATCTGCCCCCCAGCTGTCGGACCTACCCGCTTCCTGTCGTGGCTCCTCCTCCGCCCCTCGAGACAACCTGCACCGCCGTGCGTCAGAGTAGCGGGATCGTGCGTGATATCCAAGTCGTTCAATCCTCTTCGTTGACGCCGTGCCTCCTCTTGGCTCTATCTTCTGCAACTCACCGTTTGCCACTCATCTACACACCGCGTCGACATCCGCCTCCCCCTGCTTCTTTTCGGTCCGTCCCGCGCCCTTTGTAAAGCTGACGTGTCGTTGCGCCCGCTTACTCGCACACCGTCTGCGAGCGATGTCTCGCGGTCGTTGCAGCTCTCTTGGCTTTCTGCCAAGTCCTGAGTATTGCGCTTTTGGAACAAAGTACAACGCCTTTATGCGGATACACATTTAGGGTGCCTGGCCAAACATAAGAAGCTGAAGATTTGATGAACAGAGAGCTAAAACTTCAAGTACGCAACTGTGCGTGCTTCTGCAACAGCCTCGCAGGCCCGCATTCCCACCAAAACATGAAAATAAAACGGGATAAGGCATCCCAGCGTTTGTTCGGAGTCTTTCAATAGCATGTTTTAGAGCGGTATTCGAGACCGGATCGCTGAAAATGCCACACGCGGATTTTTAATTTATATGCGCTTCCGTTAAGTTTTTTCAATTTTGTTTTTAATCACATATACATTCCGTCTGTGTTACTTTCTAGGCCCTTGTCATCTTCATCACCTTCTACTTCGGACTTGCATCCAGCATGCCCACGCAATTACCCTCAAACTGTGGGCAATCTGCGTTTTGCTAGTATTGTACATCTTTTATTCGTCATGTTCGGTCCGCTTTTCGATTATCATGTTTTCTGTGACGGACATGCGGCGGCTCTTGATGCGGAATGGACAGAGAGCACCACAGTTGCTCTTGAAATCTAGCCCTTGTCATCATCTTCGGTTCTTATTTTGCAGCACCTAAAATGTTATCCGCATAAAGAAATTGCATTGTACTTGTGAAACAAGGCACACGCAATTCGCATTGCGGCATTTTTCGGTCGAGCTCGTACGACCCCCCCTTTTTGGGGGGTTCGGTACGACCCCCCCCCTTTTTTTGCCGTTTGGTTTTTTTTGTGATGCGTATCGATACGCATCACAAAAATTCCGCAGAACCGCTGCGTTTCGGCGGCCGGGGAAAAAGCAATAGATGCGTATCGATACGCATCAAAAACTTTTCGCCGAATCGCTGCGTTTCGGCGGCTGGGTAAAAAGCAATAGCAATCAGCAAAGTAAAAAGCAATAGCAAAGCAATAAAGCAGTTAAGAGTGCAGATCAGTTTTTGATGGCGTATCGGATACGCGATCAAGGACGTTTCCCGAAAATCCTGTGACGTTTCGGGCTGGCGAGCTTTCAGCAGAACAGAATCGGCTCCAACAAAATAAATAAAAATATAAAAGCGAAATAGGACGAATACAATCGAAACAGGATGAATAGAAATGAACGAAAACGCTAAAACGCTTCTATCGCGCTAAAAATGCATTAACCCCGAGATGTGGGGTACGGTAGCAGAAGCGCGTGTGTAATTGCAGCTTTGACTGGAGCAAAACGGCTATTAGCCATGGCGCGAGAATTTTCAGCAAAAGTAGGGCCTTGTCTTTGAAGGACCATAACTTCCTCAAAAGCGGACCTGTGGGGAAGAGGAGAGCGTATTGGTAAATTAGAAGGTTTTATCTTCCTGAAAGTACTAAAATGTTCCAGGGTGAAGTCGCCGAAAATACAGAGAACAGCTGCCATGGGATTCGTTAAGGGAGTGAAGGGTTGAAGTTCAAGTTGAACAGGTTTGAATCAATATATTTTTTTTGTAACTCAACATTTCACAAATCTGAGAACGGATCCGAGCTTCTCAAGATTTTCTCTTTCTAAAAACCTATTGAACTGTTCCTGAAGCTCTCGGGATTCATGAGATCTCGCGATGGGGATTTCTTAGGGAGCACTCCCAGCCGCGCGAAAAACCCGTTTCCTGTGCACCGTTTCAAGTGAGCGTGTTCGAATAGCCAGGAACGCATGTAGAACGTATTCTTGTGGTGGAGCAGGAGCAGGATATGGTTTCAGTTTAGCGCGGAATTCACGCGTGACTTTGTATGCGCGCGCCACTGAGGGCGCCGCAGAACTGATGGTGGATGGTGACTTGTGCGTGTACTGTCTTGTTCACGCGAGCAATCTTCTATAGTATTCAGGGGTTCTATGACGAAACTGTGCACTTTGTGTACACAGCTGTTTTCCTGTGGATGATCGGAACGTGTTCTGGTCGACGCGCGCGCCGATCTGATCTCCTCAATGCTTGTCTCGATACAAGGAGACCACACTGCCTGGAAAAACGTCTTGATACGAACGATATTGGTAGTCGTGTCGCTTTGTCGAAAATAGGCTGGCTCAGCCCCAAGCGCAATCGCGGACACGCCCCATCATCTGCAGCAAATCAGAGTATGCGTTTACTGTTTAGTCATCAACGGACTTACGAGATGATGTCGACTCATTTAAATTCCAGTTATTTCGCATTTTTATGGCTGAAAGTTTTGTCCTTTTTTTCAAATATCCGAGTTCTCTACAAAGTAAGCTTCGCTGTACCGGACTCAGCACATTGACACCTTTGCGCTGCTCGATACTGGCTACGCACTCATTACGACCCCCCCCCTCTCCTGGCGGCCAAATACGACCCCCCCATGGGGATTCCCCAACCAATGCTGTGCCCTGATCCCAAAGCGCAATTACAGGACTTGGCAAAAAGCCAAGAGAGCTGCACGCGACCGCGCCGCGCGGATGGTGTTAGCATAAACAGTGGGAGGGCGGTGCGTAGCAAGGAATTACGACTTTCCCACGGCCCCGTACTCTGACCCCGTGCAGTTTTGGGCGGGGGGACCACGACACATCGACAGCTGGGGGGCTGATAGTCCCATACACCCTCAATGTGTTTGAGCGTACGCGTGTGGCCTTTAAAGCTCGCAAGCTTCCACCCGCCCGTAGCTAACATACTCACATCTATCCCGCCCTTGCTCGTTGCGTGCTCTCTTCGGCTGCTTTCGGTTTCTCGACCCATATATTTTTTGCCTTTTGCTTGGAACCGAAAGAGGTTCTGTTTAGGTATGCTTCCGGCGGTTTCGCCTGCTTTTTCTTCATCGGCAGGTCAGCCTGGCATACACACTTCATTTCTCAACCCCGCTGCCTACGAACGCTTAGACGGCTCATCGCGAAGTGACCCTCTACTTGAAGGCATGTGGCACAATAATTTGTTACTCGTTCTAAAATGCTAGGAGTGCTGTATAGATAGTGATGCGAAAAACAAAGTGAACACGGTCAAAAATGTGGCGAAAAGGCCTCCGTTTTGAATTACTTGAAAAGCAATTTCGTACAACCTTCCCGCAGGCACCGCGCCAATAATCGCTACGATACATATGTACACGTGTGTACTCGAATACCCGTGCAGCCGCGCGGCCGCTTCACGCCAATCCCTTCGCTTCCCATTTTACGCAAATGAAGCAATACGAGCATCAGGTACGGTCGTCCATTTGTGGGCGGGCGGGCGCGGTGGGCGTCCGGGTCGGTATGTTGCAGCTTGATGGGCCTTATAAGGTACCTTCTTTGGGAAAGGTGCTACGCAGCGCTCGCTCAGAGACGCGGAATTCCGTCGTGCTAGTATTAGTCCCACTCGTCTTAGGGATTTATCATGCCAGCTGCCTTGGAGAGTTCCTTCTTGCAGCCTTCCGAATTCAATTTCCATTGCTGGCACAATATTCCCTAGACGTGACTTCATGGCTATTACTGGTTAGACTTGTAACGAACGATTTGCTGAAAGATTGAACCCGTGGTAGAAGATCATCTTGAGACACAGCTTCAAAGGAACTTCTGCTACATCCATTGACTTTATGCTCTACCTTATACTGCTTCATATCTGGACAGCCACAAATTACTCATCGCCTCTCCATCATGGGAAAGGTATGAGCACGTACTGCAGCGACATAATGACAGTATAGCAGCTTCTGACGAAACCCTCCACAGAACACTCACCTTTTTCAAGCTGATCACATTATATTTGTCAGCAAGAATGAGAATTGGAAGGCAGTTGTCTTGATGCAGCACCACATGATTGCAGTAGAGAAATCGGAGGAAAGCTGGGAAAACCTTCTGACATGGCGCATCCTCAACCATTTCGAGATCCTGAATAAAATAATAGATAGATGGCTTCCTTCCTTCAAAACTGTCATAATACCATTTTGAGTGTAACGTTTAGCACAACACATGGCAGTGCAAGGGCATTTACATTTTTCTCTCTTCAAAAAGTTCCATGGATCTTCAAACACCGTACAGAAATTTGTTTGCTTCAATTCGCCACATTGGGGTAATTTCGGCGTTCAAAGACAAAACCCCCGATTGGCACCATTGCGGTTACAGCCACACCTGTGAGAGCCACACCCATCTAGCAATCTTTTATTTCCATAGAAAACCATTCTAAACCAATCACATTGGAAGATGGAGCCACCATGCTCCAAACTCAGCTGTAGGAATCAATTTTACATAATGAAGGGCATCGATGGCTCCTGAATCACAGCTGTCTAATGATACATCATTACTTTTGGAAAGAAATATTCCCCCCGCGCTACCGTTTCCATCTGTCAACCATGAAAGCCATCCATTTAAAACCAGTGTGCAACATTGGAAGCACCAATTCGAGGGGATTTACGCCCTATTTGTCTAGAAATTGAAGCGAAGGAAGTGGTGGGAAAAAAACTGAATGGGCACACCTTCTTCTCGCCATTCCATCGTTGACTGAGCATTCGATCGAACACTTCGCTATTCTTGGCAAGGATGAGGCGATGAGCGGCAAAGCTGAAATGATTTTTCTTCAATGATGTTCTGTAAACAAATATTCGCAACAAGAAAAGACATCTTTCTGAGAGATTTTCAGGCAAAGAGCCGAGTGTTGCGAAGAATGGATAGGGAAGAATCATGAATTCGCTATTACATCTACTAGTTATTGGCAGTTCCGAAGGGTGGAAGTGGAGGAAAATAAGCTGTCACGTGCATGGCTCTGGAGCCAAACCATGGATCGGCTCCCTCCTTCGCTGACCAAGCCTTCCCTGGTAGACTGATATACGTTTTATCTGAGGAGATGGAAATACTAACTCGTGTATTAGCCCAGAAAAGGACTGATCAACGGCGAAAGCTTCATCTTCAACTCCGTTCGGTCCAACCACGCTTTGCACCCCTCGGGAGTCGATTAAGGATCGGTATGGTAAGGAGAACATCAACTTGTACATCAAGTAACGCCGCGATTTTTGGCAAGTCAAATTGGGTTCTTAAATCCACTACGACGTTGACTGGAAATGAACAGTGTGGCCCATCTCGAGAGAGAGGATCATCGCTGAGCGCTTTGTTCTTTTTATTTAATCCGCTAGTGGAACCGCTAGTCGCTCCATTCTGGAGAATTACGCCCTTCGTTAGTCGGATATCCCACCGCGCAAACGACAGAAAAGAATCTTCATGAGAATGCCATGCTGTGCCGAAACGGTTCACGAAGGATCAGTATTATCAAGTTGCCGTACTGCCGAAGAACAGCAGGTACCCATAGAAGCCCTTCCGTCGTGTCACACATCTTCTCCATCTTCTCTTAAGGTTCGCCGCATTTCAAGCGCTCAACAATCATATAATGTTGAAGGATTCTCTGACAATTTTCAGGTTGCACTTCTTGGAATTGTGGGACGCTGTTCTGCAGGTAGTGCTAACGACCTCAATCTCCATATTAAGGAAATAAAAGGGGGAGGTTTCCTTGCGCTCGGGAACGGAACAGAGAATCCCCTTATCCATCTGAATGTCCCCCTTATCCATCTGAATGTCAAATAGTCCGTTTGTCAAGCACCGCCAACCCGTAGTTCTTAATCAACAAACCTTGCACCTATACATACGGCTTTTCTTTCTTTTTCTTCGATGAAAGTGTCGTAACAGTTGCAAAGAATACTGCCTGCGCGCTTGAAGTGCACTTAGTGCTGTTTTTCTGGTGTTGAAGGAACTTCGTGATGCCAACTTCAACTTGTCATTTCGAAGAAGAAACCAGACCACCTTGTACTCCTTCCCCGTATGTTTGCATAGCTGTTCTCGTGCACTTTGCATAAAAGTGCACGGATGGTTGTGTAGTGAACTTTCTTATCGATTTCTAAACTTGAACACTGAACAAGGATAACTAGGAATCCCTACAAGGGGGGGGGGTTCGTTTTTGGTATTCAGAAGAAGTTCGAGAGAACATCTGTGTGTAGATCGTTGAAGCATGAACCTGTTGTAAGGAAGCTGTTAAGCTTTGAAAGAAGGGGATCGTGTGAAATCGTCCCCCCTATTCACGGGTTGTTGATTTTTCAAGGGACCCTCACAGGCTACCGAACACTTTATCTCCAATGCAGTTACTTATGAATTCATGCGATCGAAACCGTAGCGAGCGCCGTCCATTGCTGCCCTGGGGGTCGATACAAAGCATGTCAGGAGCGCTAAGATTATGAGCAGCTTGCTTTAGTAGTTCCTCATTACATCCTCATATTCTGACATCGAAGAAATTTCGGAAAGGGCCGGAATTCCTCAGCTCTAGAGAAATTTTATCGTCTCCGAGCTTTGAAGAAGCTCCATTAAGAAATAAAGTAGTTAATTTGTTCTACCCCCTTAACATGTTGAGCCCGACGACAAAGCTCTGAGCTCAGTGGTATACGACAGTATTCTCACACGTTTGGAGACTCTTGCTTGATCCTTCCCTTCGCAAATTTGGATGATAATATGTCTCACTAATTGTGAGACCCTTCTCCGTTAATTTTGAGCGAAGCTCGGGGAGCAATGAGCTGGGTAATTGTGAGTCAATTTCACCGAAAACCGCAGGCTTGAGCTGTGAAGGCCATTCGTTTGACAAACCCGGAGAATAATGAACTCGATTGCTTGAGGTCACTTGGTTCGTTCGCCTGAGGTCCCGGACAGATTTGTTCGTTACAGGTGAAGTTCTCAGCGAGCCCTAGTACTGTCTTTGCGTTCTGGATCAAGAACCAGAACTTTGCGGGTGGAGTCTTCCATCAACTTAATGGGGACCTTATAGTTTGTCACGAGGGAAGTTCCAGTTTTCATTCCCTTCAGGACAAGGATTAGTCAATTCGCTCGCTCTTGTCCCTTATTTCTTTTCCTGTGTCTTTTGTTTACATTTTCACTGAGCTAATGCTGTTTTTTTTCGTATACTTGTTTGTCTGTGGCAGACCCTCGGGTGAATTTGAGTATTAAATGAATAAATGAAATCTTTCAAATCCCTTCGTAGCAGGACAGATTCGCTGTATATTTTTCCAAAACGTATGTTTGCATATTCAGTCATACTTCTCCGCGTCTTTGCTATGCCCGAAATCCTGTTCAAATAGGAAAAACACCAACATTTCTCAGATCTGAAGAAGTCATTTGATTGCCAGAAAAACGAGCCCCGTCTCTGCCCATTTCATTCAGTAGAGCAGTATGAGTAGAGCTCAAACAGGATCCCTTCCCACGCAATCAGGTTTTGGAGGCGTGTGATTAGCATACATAGAAGGAAGGATTGGTAGATATTGATGATATGTTGTTCGTGTGCTTCATTACAGCGGAGACTGTAGATATCATAGGGAAACCGTTGAGCATCATTTCAAGATGCGCAAAACTTTCGAGAGAATCTGAAGTGGGTTCTCTTGGAAATCATCAAACGCCAGATCTAATTGTGGACTATATGTATTGTCGACATTAAGAGACTGGGCGCACGAAGACCTTAGTCTCACTAATAAGACAGCATTCGCGATACGTATCGCTTTGAATTTTTTTTGTGGAAAATGGTCCACTTTTGACCGTGGTCTCCTAGAGACATCTGGGAACGGCTCGGCTAAAGAGCTTAAAAACTACCATATGATCTCCGCGTTTTCAATAGCCAGAACATACATAGTGGGAGCATCCTCTGATGAACCGACCTGTGTGGTGAGAATTTGAGGAACTTCTCGATCGAAGTACCTTCACTAGAAGTGCCATTGAAGTTCCTTGCTCGCTCGAGCTTGATCGGTCCCGAAAAGGATACTGGTGGATAAAATACAAAGGAGAGCGCGTCAACGAGACCAAGCGAAGAAAGGCTCACAAAGTGAGCAATGCTCGAATCCAGGAAGCTCTAGTGGAATCGAAAACGCCAGCAGTTATGTCATTGCCTAGCAGTTGAGCATCTGAAGGTCAGCGATTGCCATGTTTCGAAGACTG